GGTGTCCCTTCCTCTTTCTCTCACCACCTCCCACACACACACACACACACACACACACACACACACACACACACACCCACCCACCTGTCCGAACTTGGCTTGTCTTACAGCTTATTAAGAGCAGTGCAATAGTTACATGAGCTGTGCAGTGTAGGAGTCAGCACAAGATGTATGTTGCATTATCGGATTGTGTGTGTGAGTTTGTAATGTGATGTATATGGAGTGGCAGAGTGTACAATAATGGGACTGAGCAGATGAATAATGGAGAGACATTCACAAATGCACGTGTGTGTAAGCACTAGGCAGGGACATGTCTTTACAATGATTTATTGAATAGGGTCTGGCAGAAGTTCAGACTGGTGCTTCCTTTAATATGGAACTGAAGTAAGACTTCCTGAGAAGACCTCTGTACACCTACCACTACCACACAGAGCATTCGCCACACTTCAACGACAACTAGGGCATATAATGTCTTATGTGTGCGTCTAGAGTGTTTGCTCATTTGTGATAATTTTGGAATATGCTCACGCCGATCAATCCCTAACATAACTTAATTACTTTATTCAACATATTTTTATCTTCTAAAAGCATTTTTAATGCATTGCCACTGTCTAGCAGGCTTATTTTTGTTGTCAAATTTTTGTCAACAGTATGTTTTAAATAAAATTGTTAACAGTTATCAGGATGTTTAATTTTTGTTCGTAATTTTTGGGTGAAAATAACACTTAAATATACCTACATATATTTTACTAATACATTTGAGTATATTGGTCATCTGTGAACATTTTTGGATAAATTAAAAATGAATGATTTTGAAACTGATTCAGCTTGTACTGATTCCTATATGTAAATGAACTAAACTAGAGGTCTGCATAGCATGGGTTTTTCAGTCCTGCTTCCATAAGATTCTGTCCTGTTCCTGTAAAATGTTACATTTTGTCCCGCTTCCACCACCAACTTTTACGTTTTGTCCCCCCCTTGCCTGTAAAAGATGGTGGCAGGAAAGGGTTTGTGGGGATTTTTCAATCTTGGTCCGGTAAGATTCTGTCTCATTCCGGTGTCATAGGCTATGTATGTCACACTGGGTTATCAGTCATTAAAACTAATACTAAAAAAGAAAAAAAAAGTGACTTTAAATAAAATAAACGGTAACTAAAATAAAATATAAAAAAAATTAAACATCTTATTTCAACCTCTAAACCAAAATCTAACAACAACTTTGCTACCAAGTATCAATCAGAGATGACCCAATAAAAAGCACATTATAATCTCTGTAATATTCACATTGTTGCTTAATTTTATATCGCAAATTCATTGTGAGTATGCAGTGTGTCACCCAGCCCATGCTTGTGTCTGTAGTTCCTTTAAATATCCTGTGGAGTGGACATGTGTTGGGAATGGCTTCTGTTGGATCTCTGCCGAGCCTGGCAGTTGGCACGGGGAGGTGCAGTCTGTTGTGGCACGGGGTCAAACACTGAACTGCCCCACTGCCAACCCTAGATATCCCTTTTTATTTTCTCCATTGACAAAT